CAAATCATGAAAAAATATATTGCTTTAATAGTAGAGCATTTGCTCATAAGCAAGGGTACAAATATTATATACAAAAGAAATAATAATTTGATCCCAAGGTTTTTAGCAGTAGCACAGTTTTAACTTGAAAACATTTATGCAAAGTTAACATGAACATAAAACAGAAATAATTATGGTATAAATGTGTAAGGCCAGACCAGAGTGATTAAATGCAACCAATACTGTACACTCTTAGTTGCCTCAGCATTATTCCAAGTTAAAGAGCATTTATTCATCCATTTTCACATATTTAACTTGTCCGCCAAGACTGAGCACAATTCAAGCAATTTAAGAGCATTAAACACAAATCTGAGATATGTGAGCAGTACTTGTCATAACACATATAGGCAAAACAATTTAATTGAGCTTACAAGGATTAAATTTTTGCAATCATCAGCTGCTATAGATATTCATGAGTAAATAGTTGACCACACACTTTCAATATTTCATGAATCTCATCAAAAAATGTTTGGAATTAAAAATGAAAAAAAACACTTGCCTGCCCTTAGTTATGTTAGAGTATCATGATGATAATACAAATACAAATTTAAATCATTTACTTGAGTAAATTTAAAAATAAATTGTCAAACTAATCTCTATGTTGTTGGTACAAAACCACACAAATCTCAAAAAAAAAATCAAAATGTCTTTACTTTTAAGACTTTATACAGTCTGAAATTTAAGGTGCTAAAGGAAGATGTGCTGTTATCCACATGCAATTGGGTGTCAAAAGGCACAAATAAAAAAATCCCAGTTTCCACTCTGGGAGGTAGAATTTGCCCACAAGAAAGAATGCACTGGTGATATTACAAGGCATAAGAGAGTGTGAAAAATGCCAATGTGACATTTGATTCATACTAACAAGAGATAAAAAATGTAAATTCCTTCTACGCCTCGAGTTTCCACCGTAAAATATTGCCTATGTTATGATCAAATAAATGAGTGCTCAAATTACACAATATATGCAATGTAACAACAAGACATAAGATCACAGGGAATTGTATCCCTCAAGGTTAACATCACTGACATGGATTATTTATAACAATATCCAAAAAAAAAAATTAGGCCCAGAACTGGTTGAGTGATTATTTCTTCAGAGCAGACCCAACAAAAACGCTTACATAGTCTTTAAAAAAAAGGTAAACAATGCAATATTACTAAAGATATTCTCTCCCCAGAGGGCAAATGGAACAATTAGATTAACAAGATACCTCGAAAGGGAGCATACCGAAATTATGTTTAGCTTGGGGTAAATCAACACCGCTCACAGCGAAAAGGACTTAAAAGGCTTTGTGGGATGTTTACAAAGTGCTTCTCCCGTTACAAAGTTTGAAAACTGAGAAGAATCTGACATACTTCAGCTTCCAGGATTATCAGTAAAGATGTGATTATTCAAACGTGATCGCCTCACTACAGATTCATCCTTCAAAAGATTACTGATACATCAGAAAACATCTTCATTATAATATTAAAGGTTAATGTGTCAAAATACTTTACGGCCGGCAAATATTTACGTTAAGCGATGGACATATATCGATCCATCGGATTCAATTTGCATGTGGGAAACAATTTATAAACAAAATATTTTTCGCTGTTAATTTCAATAGGTGATACAAACAAAGACCTTCGCAAAATTATTCCCGCAATGTTCGAAAACAATCTATCGTTGTTCTTTCGTCGTTATAAAGGGACTGAGATGTAGACAATGAGTGCAAAATAGCTGTATTGACGAGGAATGTGCTCGATTTCTCTTGAGTTAAATATATTAGTTGGTATAGTTAACACTAGACAAATACCATGTTAATTTCAGCTATGTGAAAATTAAATTTCCTACCTTCTGTTCATCGTAGTAAAAAAAGTCGAGTGTCCCCGTGGAATTAAGAACAAACCAGCGCTTATTCCATCGCTGAAAATAAGACAAAACGATAAAATAAGCCATTCAAAATAGGGTAGCCTACCTTGAAGAAAATAACTAGCAAAAAATTCACAAACGGAGCAAAGGATATTGCAACTTACCGAAGGAATAACTCTTCCCTTCTCGAGGGATTCATGGGTTGTTATACAGAGAACGCCAGATTTTACCACAGTTCTGATCCTTGGATAAACCTAAAATCAATTTAAAGAAGATTCGTGATTAAAATCGTGAACTGCGACTGAACAAGGAAATCTTTGCCAGCGCAAGTTAAAACAGAACCCTCAAGAAAGCACCATAACATAGGCAATAGACGGTTGCTATCCGAACGGAGTCAAACAATCACACATTGCTACCTTTTGAGTTGAATTTCTCCTCGTTGCACTTGAAAAGGAGGGATCTTGGCCGGAAATTGAGGAGCTGTGTGCTTCCAGTAGCTTGAAACAATTTTGACACTTGCTCTTGTTGAAGACATTTGGCTGAAAGTTCCTGCAAGCACGATCAGCCATAGCAGATCGTAGATCGCTGCTATTTCTGTTTCATTCTTAATCGAAATCAGACGTCCTCGCCTTTTTCTGACTACCTACTTCCACAGATTAAATGGCGAAAAGAAAGCAAGGTCGTAAAAGTCCAACTAAAAGCTCTTTGTGAGGATTCGGAGAGAGTTTCTGAAATTATTATACCTCCTCAAACGACGCCCCGGGTTTGATCCTTTTACACTGCCAACTAGGCATGCGCAGGACGGGACAAAAACAACCTCACCCTACCCCGCTAAAAATGCATTGCAAGTCTCATTCACGTCTCAAAGAACTCGCCAGTTGCTACGTCCCCTTCAATTTCGATAGAAGATAACAAGAAACGACGTTTCATGTTAGATAAATCTTTCGATGTACATTTAAACAACAATAAAAATTCGCGGCAGCACTATATATATGAGAAAAAAGGTCTCTGAAATGTCTGTAATATTCTTGTGAGAAAGTGGAATGTAATTGTGTTTCTCCCCTGTCAGTTTGAGAAAAAAGTTACCATTTCCTACCATAGACACTTTGACAGGAACAGAATTTATTTCAAAAACTATCTGTTACGTTTTATTTGAGAATTCGGAGTGGAAAGCTTTATTCCATGTAGGATGTCACTGATTTTCAGTAATATAGAAGCCAGTTCCACGTGCAAAATGCACTGAGCACAGTCTTTCAACTCCCTTACTAACCCAAAACCTGCTGCAAACCCCTCCCCGACACGTCTCAAATATTCTCGCCAGGCGGAGAAACGCGGGTCCTGCAACGCTGAGGGCGTGTGCGTCGAGTAAAATATCTGCACTGCTGTCTAGACAGTTGGTAGCTTAATAGCACGCGGGAAAAGAGTTAATTTTTTGGCCCACGTGGGTGGTGGCGTATTCGTGGCGAGAGGCGTGTGACCCGCCCGTGCCATCACACTTTTTTTTAAGCTCGCTCGTACAATTCATCGGATTCCCGTGAGTTAACCTGATAAAAATTTTATGTGCGCGAGACCCCTACCCTTGTACAAGATTCGTAACCTTTTTATAAACAAATTTCAAGGACTTCTAAGACTTCTTCTAAGACTCAGATTGACTTTTCCAGCACTCCAAATTTCAACTTAAACCCTTTCATGCCCAAGATTTCAAAACCAGTTTTCTTTACGCCCTGTATAAATTTCTTTTCACGTAAATTCTGAAAACTTTATTGCTTGAGTTCAGCAGATTTCCAGGACTTTCCAGGACCTACAGTCTTATTCCAGGTCTTTCCAGTCCTGGAAAATGTTAAAATAAAATTCCAGGACTCTCCAGGACGCATACAAACCCTGCTTGTGGCTGCATTTCAATGAACTGTTGAATAACGGTTGACACGATTTACTAACCGTGACCCAATTTGTTGACAGTCCATACACAAGTGAAAACATAATGAAACAGTGGATTCAGGAAGAGTAATTTATCAACATGTACTTCATACACAGAAGGTTGCTTGGCACTCTAACTGGTTTATAAAATACAGAAATTTACAAACAAATATATACCTGCTAATTTTCATTGTTTTATTTCTGCTTTCTTCAGTTTTGGACATCTTCAATTCAAATTAACCCTCTTTGCGGTAAGACAATTGGAGTCAAACAAATTCTGCTCGGGACAGTATTTAAATTCAACATGGTATGCCATGCTATCATACATAACCTGGAAAGAATTAATTTCTCATGAAATCTAGACAGTAGCTATACTAAAAGAGCTCTTGCGCGTTTTCATCGCTTAGCCTGAAAAGGATTGGGAGAATTAAAGACGGTTAGAACTTTGATTGCGCCGTTTTGGGTCTGCATAACTTTCTGGAATCCTTCAAACCCCCCGAGGCTATGTTGACACGTTAATGGGCCTCTGATGTTTTAATGAAAGATTTCTTTAAAAATATGCGGAAAACTGAAACGGCACCACCATGCTTCCATGCTCTTATCTGTACACACCTATCGACTAATGCGAGTGTGCGTTACACATCATAACTATTTTACACTTGATTAAAATTTCAAGTAAAATCAGTGACCTGACGTTGGCTAAAGAGAATATGATGCTAATCAGCAAGAGTTACGGTTAAAATATTGGTTTTCCTACTTGACCCAAGGATCTTAAACAATTCTTATTTCAAGGATTTCGAGGCGTGAATACACCGGCGGGAATAAATAGGAATTGAATAAAAAACTAATTGCAGGTTCTGCCCCCTCAATTTTTCAAATTAAAAAAAAAGGGGCACGTATATTGAATAGGATAATCCGACTTTCTTCGCTTTTATTAGTTTTCATTTTCTTTTTTAAATTCTTACTGTATTATATGTCGTACACGTTTGTTTTTTTTTTTTTTAATTTTTTTAGGCAGTTTTGTTTTGGTTTTTCCTGTTTTACTTCATAGTCTCGCCACTGCTTTTCTGTGATTCTGTTGTATTTTATTTCAATAGTTTCCGAATCTGTATAACGTAATCTTAGGTCGTAGTTCCATAACGTTTTTCTTAAGTGTAAATAAAAACCGTACAATGACCATTTGGAACTCTGCTTATTTTCTGAGCCCTAAATAGCAAGACAACTTTGTCGGTGTTTTACGAGAACTACACTGTACAATGTATAGAATTCAATAAATATGATTAAACTGCTACACACTAAGTAAAATTTACGCTTCACTGTACATAGAGTTTCCTTTCTTTTCCTCCACACCTCACTCAAAATTGCGAAATACTACTATTTCCAAAATATTCTGTCCACAACCCGCTTACAGTTCAATATGCAATCACACCTCATCCAGTATCAATAACATCCGAGAACACTGGAGACCAGGTTGCACGATTATGCCCGACGTATAATCGATCTACGATCGCAAATTCGTAACTAGTGTTTTTCCAAGTATAGATGCGTGTAGACAGCATAAAAATGACACCATGCTCCTGTGGCACAGAAACAATGCCAGATAGCATGCGCAAAGGGTATTCGTCCATCACATTTAAAAAACACTACGCCACTGACGTAAAAGGCTCCTCCCAGTGCTACCTCGGCTAGACCAGCGGAGTCCGTCTGTGTAAAGGGAAAAACAGTTATTCGAAAAAAAGGCCTACATACAAAGAGCAGTCTCAGATGGAATTTCACAATTCCGAACCAAATTAATAACAGTGGCTGGAGCACTTTTGATTGAGCGTGTTAAAACCAGGATAATCATAACGACCAAACATGACATAAAACGCAAATAGCATGCAGGAAGAGCCGATGTGAGCCCAGATAAAATGCCTGCTGAGGGCCTTAAGCGCGGAAATTCGCACGTGACTAAGTCGCAGTAGGTTTTATTTTTGCAACAATTGGCTGACGGGATGGCACAAATGTACTAGACCAATCAAAGAGTGAGGTATGGTAAACCAGTTGAATGCAATTTCGGATTACTATAATCAGTTGGTTTGAAATTCCTCTGTGCACAACAAGCTTAAATCAAAAGCGCGAGAAAAGCTGTGGCGACATTGCGATTGGCTAAATGAGGCAGGCAGAGGGATTCTACCAGCATTTACACGCGTGTCCTAACGAATGGAGTTATCATCTATACGGCCATCTCTATGACTAGTGGGCATGATCGAGAAGGAAAAAATGACAAATATATTCAAACGCGCGCAAATATTGTGTTTCCTACTTCCTCAACAATTAGCTATACTCATCAAATTTCGATTACGTCACCAACATAGATTGACCGCTAGTGAGTTGGGGAAATTCGCAAGAACGAGACGTTAAGAAAATTTTGGGTCGCTAAGCGTAGGTCGGTAGTTTAAGACACACTAACAGAAAGCACAAATCTGCATCCTGATGAGAGATTAGAGCTGGAAAGGGATGGCTCAAAAGAAACGAATATACTTACTGAGGCAAAAGCTAGGGGAAGAGATGGACATATTCCAACGATCAGATACAGAACAGTTTCTACTGTTTTATATCTAAAAGCAAAACAAAATCAAACAAAATCAAACAAAATCAAACAAAAAACAGAAAAAAATAACTATACATTAAAAACAAAAAGAGCTCATGAACTGATTACAACAGCCAGTGCAATATTGCAGAAACTTTTCAAACAGAGTGCAAAGAGCTTCCTTCCTTTAAATCATTTCAAAATAAATTACAAATTAAGAAAACACAGAAAATATTGATAGCAGTTGAGCCAAGTTTATCACTGAGATCGGACAGTTACCTTTCATGGAACATGTAAGTATAAACAGTGCCAGTCGCAGCAAGACACCATAAAAGCCAGGATATTAGATCTCCATACTGGCCAACATCTTTTAACACTAGCCTGGAAAACAAAACAGAAGTTACTCATTTATATGGGGTAGAATCATCTTTATGATTCCCTTTCACCCCAAGCCCACCCTTGGAACATAAATGTTGTCCCTAAAAAGATCTGTGCAAATCATAAAAGAGGAGTTTTGGTAAACCCTCTCTCCACCCTTGAGAATAAATCCTTATTTCCTTCCACAAAATAAATTATTGAAACCCACCTCCCTTAAAAATTTCAGTGCCTCCCAATGGGTGGTTAGGGAAGTTTTTTTTTAATCATACACAAGAAAAAATTTAAAGGTGTATTGGTGTAGTAAGATTTGATGAAAATGAGTATTGAGATTTTCTCCAGGCAAACAAAATTGTTATCCACTCACCATGGCATGTATGAAGCTGCAATGAAGAAATAAATAATGCCACGATCACTCAAATGCAGAAAGAATCTCAAGGAGCTGAAAAAGAAAAAGATTATTGTATTATGTGAATTGTATGATTATATTACAATATCAATATTTACCAATAATTGATGGAGTAAATAAATAATGTCCTGAGAGACATTTGATGAGACATTAACTTCTCCCTCTGTTTTACAAGGGCATACAAGAAAATTTGAGAGGTAAATCTAGTTGTCCATCAAAAGACACTTACAGCCTTTTTTTTCATGGATACCGGTACCTTTGATTGAAAGTATGTTTACAAATTTTTGTTATCTTTATGATCAGAAGAGATTTATGATCAGGAAGAGAATATATGAGTGATTTGAACTAAAACTGATTAGGCTTATGCTTTAACCCTTTAACTTCCACGAGTGACCAAGACAGAATTTCTCCTTACAATATCAATAAAATATCAATCAGATATATAAGTAATGAGAATAAAGAAAAATATCAATTTGGGGATAATTGGTTGATCCAATATTAAATTCTCTGAACTAACATTATAAAAATTGTATGGTTAACAGTAAAGAGAATTACAAATTTGATGGTTAATTTTTTTGTAACTGTATGGCATGCATAAAGAAAATTATCACATTTAAATGGAAGAGAACTGAATGATTTTTCTCTGCTATTTCTTTGTGAACCTATGGTTAAAATGAAAAGGTTGATCTGCCAAATGTACAGTCAAGATCGATTTTCATAAATCATTTTGTGTCCAATTTATGTTATATTGTTACATGATGTAGGTAACTCATCTCACCTGGCCTTTCCAGACAGGCTGACAACATGAAATAAAGTTGATATCAAGAAGACAAGGATAAAAGCAGTTCCATACACTTCAGCAATAAAACGATGGCTTGCTGATAGCAGTCTAGAATTTTGGTGAAGACGCAATGCTGCATAAACAGCTGGCATTACAAACAGCTGAAACAAAAAACAGAAAGGCTAAAAATTTCCTGTTCCAACATGTTGTAAACTACTACTCAAAAGGGAATATTTAATTTATTTAGTGCTTACTCCATGGGTAATGATATTTGCTGTTTGTTCAATCACAGTGGGTTTATATGCCTCATTTTTACCAGCAGGTGGATTCATAAGTCTGAGGAACAAGATTTAAACATATTGTTATATAAATTTCCATGAAGTGCTGTCTACAATGTAGATTTTATTTTCTCCTCTATAAGCATTTTTTACAGAAGACTGCCAATACTGGGTAATATACCATTCACCCTTAACTTGCAGAAGTGATTAACATGTAACTTCTCCCTATAATATCCATACATCATCCAGCAAATAGGTCATGGGAATACTTAAACTTTTCCGGCAGAAGATGTCACCTTGATCTCTGTATCACCAAATTCTTGTCAATAATTTACAAGGAAATGTATAGCCCCTAGAGGGGAGAATTAACGATCAGATCTTGGAAGTCAAAGGGTTAAGTCAGTTATATTTTGAATTTGAACTGAGTAAGGATGACCCTGACCCCATTTCCCAGCAACTAACAAGGGCATCCCTCCTCCTCCACCAACATGACAAAACTTTATTTTTGCATGATAGTATTTTGCACCCTTGTTCAAGTTTTAAGCCTGCTGTAAGGGATTTTTGAGAGTGACATGAGAGGCCGACTCATCTCTTAGGTCAGGCTAATGATCAGGCTCATTATTCACGTCTATCTGTCTTCACAGCATGCTTGGTATATGGTATATGAGATGGATGATATGCCCTTAGAAATAAAAGGTCGATGATGCTCTGTCATTTCAAAATTAGATCAAAACAGAGATTCCTTGTTTTCCAGAAGGGTTTCTGAGCGCCCTGCTAATCTCCCCTCCCCATCTGACCTTGGCTAAATAGAAAACTGACTCATGAGTTTTAACTTGACTGATGAGGCCAGAAATGTTTCCAGCAATGTTGATCAAGTACAGTATTATTTCCTAAAAAGGCAATTCAAAATTAAGATAAATTGTTTCTTCATACACAAATAATGGGCTTACCGTGATTACTTACTGACGGAAGAAAACCTTTTTTTAAAAGGAAATCTTTAGAATATGCTAGTATGAACTATGCGGATATGTAAAGCCCATAAAGTTAATTATTAAAATCATCTTACCTCGAACAGCTAAAGCAACCCATGTTTCAAATCAACTGTCTTTAAACAGAAGAAATATTCCGTCCAAGTGCAACTGTCGATCGTAAAACCTGATTGAAAAAGACTTCAACTTTGCTGTTCAGTTGGAAACGTGTGTGCCGGAATAGAGCCTTTAAGAGTCATTCCACACTCATAATTTCACCGCTATATATGTGCGTCGCATCCGGGCATAATTTCTTTAAAAATATTTTGCATTGGCAAGAAATTTTCTTAAGATTTCAAAGGTCCAAAGATTTCTTACAGAGCAGGAACAATAGCGACACAAGGCTCGAATGTGATCGACAATGTCATCTGTTTAGTTAGATAACGACCGAGTCATTCATTCACCCGGCACTATCGCGACAAAAATTTCCATCCCTACCCTAGTAAAAAAACACCCTAAGCCTCCTTTGCGGTCGCGCGATACATCACAACAGCCGAAGTGCCAGGACTAAGTTTGGTTGGTTTGTTTTAAAAATTTTAACACAAATATTAATCACAAGAGATGTTATAGACGCAAGAGGTGTACTGGAATGACGGCCATAGACCTCAAAGAACAGGGAAATCGTCTTTTTAGCGGCAGGCATTACGATGATGCAGCGCAATGTTACACAAAGGCTATTGTAGGTTGAAATCACGTTCATTCACATTCAGTTAAATCGCCTTACATCTAAGAATTTGTGGTTTGTTTTCCTCGAAGTTTTGACTTAGATTTATCTATTACATTTGAAAGTTGGCGTTGGCCATCCGGAGAATAGTGATGGCAGTTTATAAAATCAGTTGTCTCGCTTTTACTTGCCAGTTTCATGATCACACGAATTTTATAATTTTGAACTGGATCGTGCCCATGGAAAGCTCGAGTTTGATACCAGGAAAAAAAGAAAAAAAACTAGTGATTTTCATTTGCGGATTTTTTTTTTCGCCATTGACATAATAGCATAGTTAATTTGTCTGTTATTTTCTGATTTTGGAGAGTTAAGGATTAGGACGATGCGAGGATTTTTTAAATCTGAAGAAAATATAATTTAATTTTCTGTAACCTCCCAAAATTTCGGTGTGTACGATACGTTGTGGCTTTCCGTTCCCCTGCTAAAAGCTTTTCAAATGTAACACTTGTTCATGTGGTGTGCCTTCTGATAGAAAAGTTCTGAAAAGGTTTGTTTAAGACTGAGTCACTCATCTAAAAACTAGGGCACAATATTTTACGCAGAAATGTAATCAGTTTCATTTTCAGATACATTACACAGTTGAAAAATAGTTTGCTTAAATCAGAAGCCGATAAACTCTCTACATTATGAAATAAGACTTAATCATTGTTTCATTTTTCTTCGATGAATACAGTAAATGTCCAAATATGTGATTAAACAGTAATTCTTTTTTTTAATGAAATTTTTGAATACTTCTTTTTCTTCTTGATCTATTAGCTCCATCAGGAAATTTCCACAAATTCACCATTATTTCAATTTCTCTATTTTAGATCAAGAATCCAACAGTTCCAACATACTTCACAAATCGGGCTTTGTGTCATCTCAAACTTAAGAAGTGGTCTCAGGTCATAAGTGACTGTCGTCGTGCCATAGAACTTGATGTGAACCTGGTCAAGGCACATTTCTTCCTTGGGCAGGCACTCCTTGAACAGGAGAATTATGATGAAGCACTTGCAAGTTTAAAAAGAGGTGGAAAAAAAGGATTATCTTAACCCTTAAAGAATGATAAGCATCTAATTTCTTCCCATAGTATCACCCTTGAATCAAACATTGTGTTAATGAGAATAAAGGAAATGATCACAAATTCAAGAAGCCTTTGATTTTTAGACAAATTTTCCTTGTAAGGACCATATGAAATGTGTAGAGAACAGTATTGAGAACTTGCATGTTGATGTAAGGGTGTGAAGGGTTAAATTTTTATTTTGAGTTTTTTCAATTGGGCTGTTAGACATTCAAACTTGGCATAGAGTGTAATTTGGAATACGGTAAGAACTTCAAAGCTTGTGGTAAATCCCTTTCATTCAATTTAAAATTTACAGCTAACAGTAGCATGGAAATATTATGTGGGTTCCCCTCTGCTATGATCACCTGCAGATAGCAATCTGGTTGTAAATGAGAAACAGACTTTAACACTCTGCATTAGTTGCCTTTTTAGGGTGCCATGAAAGCCCCAATCTCCGCTCCAATCATAGAACAGTTCCTTTAGTCCGTAGGGACTTTCTGCATGTCCATTTAATGTCAGTGAGCCAAACTATTGTACAGGGTAGATATAAATCAGCTATGAAGTTCTCTCAAGCAAAAAGGTGTTCACTATCATTGTTTGTTCTGTAACCAGCCTATGATTTAGCCAAAGAACAGAAACTTAACTTTGGAGATGACATAGCAAGTACAGTCCGTCTGGCTAAAAAGAAGGTATGAAGAATTGACTACACTCATTGTGTATGAAATGATTATCTGATAATGTAAGCTACCTGTATGTAAATGGAAAATATAAACTTTTGGCTTGAAAGAAAATTTGGAAAAAATCAAAATGAGTAACTGATGACAGATGACAAGACATTAGGCATTGTTAGATGTACTTGAACCTCTGGTTACTTCCACAAAGAACAACACAATTTAAGTGTGCTAGTTGTCAGATCTAATTTTGTCTCATTTTCAATATTGTTTTTCCAGAGATTTAGTGTTGCAGAAGAAAGACGAATTAGCCAGGAAATAGAGCTGCAGTCATATTTGAATAATCTAATCCTTGATGATAAGAAGAGGTAAACTTTTTTTTGTTGACTCTGACATTACCCTTTTAACTTTGTCAGTCACCTGTATCAGCTTTTGAGCTGGGTAACTTTTTGACCACTAAGAGTGACCAGCATCTAATTTCTCCTTACAATATCAGCCCTGAATCACACAGTAAGGTCATGAGAATAAAGGAAATGATCACCAACCAAAGAAGCTCTTGATTGTTCAACAATTCTCTTTGTCTGCTCCTTACGAAATGTATGGAAAATAGTATATAGAATTATGTTAGGATATTAAGGGTTTAACCCTTTAACTCTCAAGATCTGATTGTTAATTCTCCTCTCTAGCTGCTACACATTTCCTTGTATATTAGTTACAAGAATTAGGTGTTAGATCAAGATGACAACTTCTACCTGATAAGTTTGAGTATTCTCATTACCTGTGTGCTGGATAATGTATAGATATTATTGGGAGAAGTTGCATATTGATCACTGCTGAGAGTTAAAGGGTTAACATTATCAATTAACCTTTTTCAGACAAATTAAAGCTGCAGGAAAAGATCCTGATAAAGAAGAACTTGATAAAATTGAATTGGAATGTGTGAGTAAAGTTTGTTTTTTTTTTTCTTGCATTGACAAATGCAACATGCTCACCTTTTCATCAATACACCCCAAAGTCAGTAGGTTGTTGCTTAATTGTTGTTGCATCTTTTTTCCAGGATAAAAGACTATCAGAAGTAAATAGCCTTTTTAAAGAAGTTGATGTCAGACGAAAGGTGAGAGCTCATCTTCTTACCTCAGTTTGCTGAATGTATTATGTCTATCTTAAGGAACAGTGTGAGTCACTGGTAGTAATTATAACTCCAATGGTGAGGATGAAGTTTATAGTCTTAGATTTTCCCATCGGAGGTAGTCAGTGCAGGTATCAGAATGTAAAGTTTAACATCCTATTCACCTACTGTACCAGTAAAGCTTGATGAAACAGTTATATTTTTTATAATAAAATCAGTGCTTCATATCAGTGAATTAACAGGTCTAAGTTCAAGACCAGATCTGGTCATTTTGATGTGTTCTTGGGTGGGACACCTTGCACTTGCAATGTCTCTCTCCAACCATAAATGGGTGCTAGGGTGCTGTCATTAAAGCCTTACACCTTTTTTTTTAGGGGAGGGGAGGGAGTGGAAGGGTAACCTTGTGATGGACTAGCATCCCACCTAGGGAGACTAGCAATTCTCTCGGTCACTTCTTGCTACAAAATCAGGTTAGGCTCTTAGGGGATGGGCAGTTTAAGCTCTTGTGAGGATATGGTTATTACAGTTATCAGAATTTGAATTGTGAGTTGAGAGACAGTAAATCAAGATTTGCCATGACTTGTTCAAATACAGTTTTCTGAGGTTAATCAATGATTGTGTTTTATTGGTTTTATGCTCTGTTGCCTGTTTACTGTCACTTTAATTTGTTCTTTGAAAGCCAGAAACCCAACTTCTTGCTCTGAAATATTTTTCCTGGTTTCTTACAGAAAAGAGAGGTGCCAGACTTCTTGTGTGGACAAATTAGTTTTGAACTCATGAAGGATCCAGTCATTACACCAAGTGGAATCACGTATCTTTTTTATATAATTAATTAATTTGCCAATTGGAAAAATCACTGGAATTGTTTCCAGTGAAAAGCCTCTGGGAAGACTTTGACTGAAATTCAGATGTGAAGGTTTTGCTTCTGTGCAAGGTGAAAACCCTGCCCTTGTTACCTTTGAAGTTTTTGCGTAACATTTAAGATAAGAACCCAGTTTATCATGGATACTTGGATAAAGTATATTCCAGAAACCTTATGATTTATCTCTGAATTAATATGTAGCGAAAAAAATTACTTCTTAGAGCAGATTAAGATCCCTAACAGAGAGAGAGAGAGAGTGTGAGGGAGGAGAGAGAGTGTGGGGGAGGAGAGAGAGTGTGAGGGAGGAGAGAGAGTGTGGGGGAGGAGAGAGAGTGTGAGGGAGGAGAGAGAGTGTGAGGGAGGAGAGAGAGTGTGAGGGAGGAGAGAGAGTGTGAGGGAGGAGAGAGAGTGTGATGAAGAGAAGGCTATAAACCGCACCCAGTCCAGTAGCACATCCTTATGCAAGCTGTAACATGGCGTTTCTCTGCTGCGCCCAGATGCCAGCTAATTACTTTTGGACAATGTTGGAAACTTTTAACTCTCGTAGATATGATCGTAAACACATTGAAGAACATTTGCAGGTATGTCAGTCTAAACTTCTCTTTAGAAAAAAAAAACAGGTTTGCTTGGTTATCATTTCCTTTTTAAATTGTGTTAGTCAATCTGCGAAAAAAACGCGGTGACATGAAATTATTGTGAAGTTATTCCTGGTATTCCGGAACTTCTTTATCCAGCGGGGTTTATCTCGATATTTTCAAGAAACGTGACATATTCTTCTGGCGTGAGAATTTCGGGGAACTCTAGGTGCTGGTGCTATTATTTGATTGGACACGTATATCGAAAGATTTAACGAGCTCTCCAACGAAGATTTGGGAAAATCGAGACTGGGGTTTCGACATCGAATATAGTCATTTTTTTCATAAGAATTAGTGCGCGTCAGTGTTCACCTGCGTGCATTGTTATCATCTTCAGTTCAGATGTATATTTGTGGTCATTTTTCCTTTTTTTCTTTCTTAGCGTGTTGGCCATTTTGATCCCGTGACAAGAACGGATTTGAAACAAGAACAATTGACTCCAAACCTCGTTATGAAAGAGGTCATAGATGCGTTTATCACAGAAAACGAATGGGTAGTGGAAGAATTCTAATGCAGAATTCATTGATCAATGTAAATAATCAAGAAATATCTTCAACGTACAGTTATTTTGATAATAAATGCGTTTAGCGGCAAAAGCTGAGGAGGGCGCTTATAGTAAATCTTAGTACTATTTATAAAGTCATTAGTTGCCTTTGTAACTTTTTCCTTTTATCATAGAATGAATAAATCAGGCGAAGCTTTGTCAGTTTTGTTCATACTCTTTTATTTCATTAGCCTTCGAGAAAGCCCTCTTAGATATGCGCTGCAGGACGTGCGTTCTCCGCCTGCGGGAAGATTTGAGACTGAGTTTTGTACGCTGAATTTATTCCTTTTGGTTCCCAGCTCCTCTAAGTTTTTAACTCCTATTTGAGTTTTTATATAGTTTATTTAAGGATTGTTCTTCTCAAAGACCAAACAAAAAGAAAGCTGAAAGCGCTTGAACATAGCACAGTATGAAGGGTTACTGATAAGGAATTTACATTTTACCTGATGTGCACGATCCTGTGTTTAGTGCAAAATTGTTTTACTTCGATTTAGTAATCGTTTTTGTAGCATATACTGATTCATATCAAACCATTTGGGAAAAAATGCAACCATATGTTTCTTTGATTGTAAAGATTTCTTTTTGATCATAAAACATACCACACACGTGCTTACAAACAGGTCTGGGAAAGCGTGTTATGAAGAGACTTTCGACGCCATTACTTTGTTCTCTCTCCCATGCCCCCCCCCCTCCCTCCCCCGAAAGGTTACTTTCTCTCCAATTCGCTCCAAGGAAATCTGGAAATGATTCTGATAGTTTTAATTAATTCTGGTTTTAAGTATGTTTGCGCTGTACTCCTTACATTTGATCTTAACTCTCACTCAAACTGCTATACGTTTCCTTACAAATTAGTTCAGAGAACTTGTTGTTTTATCAAGATAACGCCCCATAGCTTAAAAGCTTGTTCATTCTTGTCAAACTTTTTTTAATACAAGAGCAGTTTTCAATTTAGTCTTAAAAGTGATCCTGGATTACTTTGGATTTGTTTTATCTCGCTCTGTGATTGGTCTAGAAAACTCTCACCACCCGCCCATCCAATCAAATGTAAAACTAAAACAAATCCCAACTTGGTCTGTCGTGTTTTCCCGCCCTTCAGGCAGGTTGCTTGTTTTTTTACCTCAAATTCTCATTGAAAAATGAGGATGTTAACCGTTTCTCTTATTGGTAGTCATTATTATTTGGTATTTCGATACTCATTGAAAACTGCTCTATGATCAGAAGAACTTACGCGTGAATCCCTCCTAGGGTTCAAGGTTGGGGATGGAAGCTTTAGTCACTCTTGTCCTGTCCCCTTAGCACACTGTGCATGCCTATACAATACAACTGAATGCTCATGAGAAGCAAGCGCTCGTTTGATAAGTAGTATTTTCAAACTCTCTCCCAAATTACCAGTTCTTTTTATAGCGCCTCATTCCTGATATGGCCTTATCCGTTTTATTATTATTATTATTTTTTCGTTAATGTTTTCACTCTGAGATTTCATTGGCTGATAAGTTCATTTGAGTTTAGCTTCAAGACTCTCCATTTCACACATCTGTCTCTCGGTCAGGATTTGGTGGAGGCGCAGTTACTGAAAGAGAATATCGATATGTGATAGATGCATCATGTTTTTTCCTCGGCTCGAGGCATAGACGCTGACATTTAAAGTTCAAAATGTTTTTGAACTGTTGCCGAAACTCCTCGCTCACAAGGGAGTAAATAATCGGATTTGCAGCACTGTTTGTCAGCATCAGAGTAATAAATATGTTGTACACGACCCAAATGTATTTCATGTGACCCACGTCAACGAAAACTCTGACAACTTGAAAAAGATGAAAGGGAAACATAGTTATAGCAAAGACAATCACCACCGGCACGAGGATTTTAAGAGCTTTGGTGTTTGCAGTTTCGAATTTCTTCTTCCTTTCTCTCTTGTAAGAGCCAACCATATTGTGCATTTTTTGGTGGAGTATTTTGCTGTCGCGAATTTTGCACGCGATCTGCCGGTATGCCCAGAGAATCAAGAACAGCGGTATAACGTACCAAAAAATCGTTAAAGAAAACACGTAAGCGGCAAAAGTGGTGTGACTTGGCCACTTTGGAGTACAGTCAACTGTACCATTGTTCTCTATGTATTCCATCACCAAGTAAACTGGAAACACGGAACTCATGAAGCTTGCAATCCAAATCGCCAGGATCACCCATTTAGCAATCGTCCTCGATCTGTACGCTGTCATTCCACGAACGATTGCTGTGTGGCGGTCCATTGCTATGGCAACGATGGAGCCAATGGAAGCACTGTAGAAGATATCCGTGAACGGGTACACAAACTTGCATACAAACCTTCCGAGCGGCCAGTTTTCAGGATCCGCGGCTTTCACAAGAGTAAGCGGATAACAAATTGCCAGTACACTGATATCTGCGATAGCCAAGTTGAGGATGTACTTGTGTACAGCGGTTTTACCACCGTGGTTTGCTCCTGTGATGATGACAACCAAAATATTACCCACAACTCCAATGGAGCAGATGATAGCACTTAAGGTAAGGCGAAGAGTCACGGCGTATCTCGGTTCCAGTTCAGGACGCGGGCCGACCGATTGACTTGCGTTAGGGTAGCTGGAGTTACCAGGATAAATCATCCTTACAAGAACAAATTGTCGAAATGTGAAATGTTTACTGGAGGCCAACAAACAAGTACTTGCTCACTTCAGTCTGGAAAAAAGAGACAACTACAGATAAATATGTCAATTATTTTCAACCAAGTGGTTCTAGATAGCACTTAAGTTCGGCGGAAGAAACTTTTGGATCCAAAAATCTGCAATCAGACACAAAATGATAAAACAACTTAAATAGTAACTTTTGGAAAAAACGGCGCTTCAAAATATTTAGAAATTAAAGAGCAAACTGCAATTGCAACGATTGAGGAGTAATATTTGGAAAGATATCAGTGAAATAAAAGATAAAAATAGAAAAAATTTAATTTGATACAAAGTAATCTGCTCTATGGAAATGAAAAAACCCTGGTTGAAATTCTAGCTTCAATATTATGAACAAAGCTTTTAAAAGCCGCCAACAACATTGAAAGACAACTATTCAGTTGACTTCTTTCAGCGTATGTTGTTAAAATAGATCAGAATAAGATAATTATAACTTCATGTCAAACCTCAAACCTTCTATAAAAGTTAAAAAACAAGCTGAGGTTGTACACATTTTGAATTTGGTGGTTTCTCCCCATGTAAAAAATCGCGCTCTAGCTCAGTGAAGATCGTTCGTAAGTTGTCAACGCCTTGGCAGAAGATGGAGTCTCCGAGATAGCGATAGCTTCATTCAACAGTAACTTGAGATGATGAACATTTTAAGAGACTCTAGCGTTTTAAACATTTGTATCGCTACCCTTCTGCCCAAATCCTTACAAGGAAAATTTGTATGTAATAGCAATTATGAGTTCTAACAAATGAGCAAATAACGAAGGATTAGTGCTGATATTTAGACAGAGGTGAGAAGGAACCGAAAGTCGATGACAACGGCTGCATTTCTGTCGAAAATAGCCGCGCAAATCGCACGAAGTGTTCCTGTAGTAACGTTCCTGTTATAAAGCATTGGAACATGTTTAACTCATTGTCACAAGATAAAATTCGACAACAGACCAGTGTGCCTTGGGTTTCAAAGTCCATTTATGCAACTAACAATCATTGGGCCAGTTCTGATAAATATTTCGTTACAGCTTTGTTGTCGATCATGTAAATGTTTTGCCAGTGAGAACCTGGATGAGACAGCTTACGTAGTGGACTGCGTGAGCAGAGAGGCAAAATTCACTGATTTCCAGATAATAAATAAATAAATCTGTTTTTACTGCTTTTATGAATTGGTTTTCAGTTCATTCAGGAAGCATGTATCGAGGTTAAGGACTACATCAATCGTTGTGGCAATCAAGGAGTGTTTTTAAATAACTGAGATTCTATATGAGGTGCAGCAACTGCTTACCACCGTCTGAGAGAAGCAATAAGACCTAATTTTCTTACGGCACGGTCGATTAAGTATGAGTTGACCACAGCGAACACACGTTTTATTCTAAGAGTCTCAGAATACCTTTTTCCTGGGTTAAATCCAGGTTAAAAAGATGGAATCAACAAATATGAGGTCCAGATCTCCCACATTTCCAAACTAAATCTATTCATGTTTGCATACATGACCGTGAAAATTTTCCGAAACAACCTGTTAATAATGATCTGCGTTTAATCTATTCCGATTGTTGCATTTGATAATTGCCTGGAAATAAAAAGTAACGAGACATCAAAACACAGCTCTCTAGGAGCCCTACCTCGCTTGGTAATCTTGTACGATTAATCCAAAACGTAACCGTCCTCAAACAATACAATTCAAACGTCCAAACGGTTAGTAAACGGACTTCACTGTTAAGTGAAGCACGAGTTCCGACTTAATTCCAAGTAGATAAGACTCTTGAATAGTCCTTGAATTTATCACCCAATTGAAAAGGTAACTCTCAGATCAAATATTATCAGCCTTGATGGTATTTTATACATCAATCAACACGAACGGAAACTGCAGTTCACATGACTTGTAAGTCCATTAGCCAAACAGACATTTGTCAGTGGGGTAGAAGGCACGAAACCTTTTTGCAACCATCTGGGCTAAGTTGTTGTTTATTGAGGCAAAGACGACAATAATTTCAGGGGAGAAATACTTCCTGGAAAAGAAATGACTTTAACAACCTAAAAAATAGCAGGGATAGAGAAACATTTCATCCGTGAAACCACCAAACAAAAACTCAAGTTGAGTTGTTATCTTTGCAAACGGCCGATCAAATACCATCAACACCAGACAGAATAGTTTTTTGTAAAGGGATATTCCAAGTTTATTAAAAAATTCCATTATGGGTGTGTTTAAACAAATACGATTTGTCCCATCCATCATATTAATATATTTGAGTTTACTTTAAAAATGAAAAGAAGGTCAACGATGCGATTGACGAGAGGAAATTAGCACCACAGTGATGCAATAGGATCATGCTTTTTTTTTTGTCCCTCTTGCAGTGCTCGAGGGATGCTATCTATGTATTCAGAGTTCAGAGTAAAGCCAGGTTTAGGTAACAAGACTGCGTATCACGCCTATCGTCCCTTCACATGTATTCGTTCGCCAGTTTGGCAACGAAGACACAGGGATGCCACAAAAATTGAATTACTCCGTTTATTTTACTTTCAAATGGCACAGCGTTGTCATGGGACACACCTGTTTGTAAAACCAACAATGACTTTTCTAGGTTTCCCGACGGTCTGCTGCTAAAGTACACGAACTTACATGCAATCGGGAGCCGGCAATAGTCTCCGCTTACAACGGGTGTCAGTGTTCTTTGATTTGAACAAGTCTTATCGTTGTGATGGTAATCTCGTAATATTGACCTCCCACAGTTAACTCAACGGTGACTATGTATAACTTCCTCAGTCTTACGACGCAGGTTTTAAACGAACAACCAAATCTCCCTGAGAACGTTAAACACGTTGTTTTGTGAGGGAGTTTGACACAAACTTACACTGCGACTTAGGTAAACACAAGAGGATATGATTTGCAATTAACTGCACCACTGTTATTTTTTCGTAAACAGAATGTACAGTAGATGGATGGAGAGCACATTTGAAAAATGCTTCTAGGCCTTATGACCAAGTCTCACTTAGCCGATTCATGGCATGTTATGAATCAATTAAGAGGAAAATCTTGGCTCACTACGAATTTGAAAGTTTTAGAAGATAATTTCTGGCCCCGCTTAAACCAGTAAAACGGACAAATTGAAAGAATTTACAGTAAATAATTGGTCAAGCAAGTTTTCGGTGTAACACGTCATGTTAAACGTTTCTCCAATAAAAAAAATTATTCATTACTTAACAGATCGGCACAGATACACCATCAATGAATTAGGAAAATCATTTAAAACTGTTGTTTTGGGGATGATTAAAACTGGAAATGCTCGTAGATATCTGATACGAATTGGTGTTTTGTGATACAATTTGACATGGTTTGTAATCTATGACTGCAAATTACTCGAAAAATTTGCATTTTGTCGTTGTATGACTTAATTATTGTAGCAAAACACTGACAAATTAACTGAGTCACCGAGTCGCGTTTCTAAAAATTGCAAAAATTTTATGATACTATAAAAGGTCTTTGGTATTTTGTGCCCGGCTCAAGCTGGAAACCACAGCGAATAAACTTCACAACCTTGTGCACTTGACTGAAACTCAGAAATATTTTATCATTTAATTTTTACATTGAAAAATCTTATTTTCCTTGATGATATGAAAGATTTTTTGCCATTTGACTATTTAGCCTAAGGGAAAAATAATACAGCCTGATTTAAATAATCAGCAAATTTTATCGAGAAATTTCCATGATCCCCGAACACTTTTCCGAGTTGCATTTACAATATTTCGTAATTTTCATTAGTCAGAAATCGCCGTGTCAAACTACTCATTTGAGCCTTTGTTTGAGGAACTTAAAATCGTCATCATGGACGTTTTGGATTTGTTATTAAAACAACAGCAAAAAAAAAAAAAAAGAAAAATGTGACTATTCTCGTGACATGATTTTTGAAGGCATCTACCGCGACGACACTACATCATTTAAAACGCCACCCTACCTCAATTTTTTGAACGTTTTCCGCCGCAGCAGTTTTCCTGTAAAAGTTTCTCTTCCTTTCCTTTTTTGTTGGTAGAATTATTATCAGTCATTGAAAATGATTTATATACAATTTAGCGTGTTTACCAAAAGTCTGAAAACACGTTTGAAATTGTGCAAGGGTTGGCCTTCTTCCCAACACAATCCGACCTTTTCATTGTCACACTTTCCGAGTAGGATTTTTGCCAAGTGTCTCGTTCAACTACATGTGAAGGAAACGCATTTTCCTTTTCAATTTCACGATGGTATTAATTACAAATGAGACTGGTGTAATCTAAATAACACCAAAATCTACATAACATAGATATTTTATGAACACCACAAAGAAAGGCTAAAGCTCTTTAGTGTTGCTACCAGGAATTACTTTGTTTATTCATTAAATGACGCTATAGAATTTTTCAGTATCCAAACACTTGCTTATCAGCGTCAAACTTACTTTTAATGAGGCCGCTAGTAATGTTCTAAATTGTATAATTGATAAGATATTTTATCAACGGGAGATCTGTTAGCTCTACATATTTTACAGAAGAACCTTTTTTCGCTGGGACGTATTACTTAGAAAGCTTTTGGTTTGCGGTTTTCGGGATCTTTGTCTTTAACCAGAATTATAAGCAGTCAATTTTTAAAATCGCTAAACTGAAACAATGGCGAAATCTTGAAATACTTCTATGCAAATGTTCACAGAGACTTTTCGCAAAGTTTGAAATTCTACTTAGAGCTAAGCACCTCACCTTTTACAAAGAACAGTTCAATCCGAGCCTTTTTGTCACAAGCTTCCGTTTTGCGTTAGAATTGAACTTTTCAGCTCCACGTACAGAGCGCTTTTTGCTTTTATATTTGACAATCATTTCGTCTGTTTCTGTTAAGGTCAAATATATGATGTAATTATACGACACGAACTGGAGTATTTGTCGGTAAATATGCCTATTTCATTTACCTATTGCTGATAAAATTGACATTTTGTCTTACATCCTGCTTCCGTTTGCTTTGCCTGTGTAAATCCAGATTTTCCTCCTTCGTAAACGTCCCGAAATATATTTCATTGCGTGCAAAAACCCTCTGATAAATAATCTTTGGTGTCTGACAGATCAATATAGATAAATCTTAACTGTCGTTATCAATCGCAAACTCTTGTAGACGGCACTTCAAAAAGGAAAATGGAGCTTTCTTATTTTAAAAGACATGTATGAAGCTGAACAAATTTCTTAATTTCTAGGAACTCTTTTGAATTTTATCACATTGTGCGATCCAGATTTTGAAGACTTAGTTTTTCGACAGATTAGCCACATATGGGACAACCGCAAATTCAGCTCAGCCATCTTCTTCTAGGCCACGAATCAGGAAAATCAAACTGAAATACCGGTATTTGACTTTTTGTAATTACTTTATGGTGTCTGTAAGACATTATTTCTTAGCGAATGGACCACCGGTTCTTGAGGCCTGGCTTTGGCATATATAGTGTTCCTGATCAAAAGCATTTGCAGCTATAAGGTCGAAAATTATGCATGGCTTTAGACTAGCTGTGAATTTCATTTGATGATACCTTCATAATTATTTAGGAAGAGAAAGTTACTTTCTGTTGCATTTACATACATCTTTTTTTTATTTAAAATCTGAGTTTATGACTGTGACAGCCAAATTTGATAAAATATTTCAAGGTGCATAAGAATCATTTCCTACCCTTTCTGTGTCCCTTCTTGTCTTTATTTCTTCGCACGAAAAAAAGAAACAAACTGAGCAAAATAAACAACAACAAAATGTAAAGAGCTAAAACTTTGAATGGAAAATAAAAGGAATTCCTAGTCATTTGAACGCATGCGTATGTCCGAGACAAAGAACCAAGGAATCCCACATGTCACTGAATGGGGCCTCCCAGCTCTGGCCCCCCAAAACAAAATGAAAGAAAAAAAAAAAGAAAAGTTTAGGAGAAAAATGGTCGTAAGATCTTAAAGAAGCATCTTAAGAGAAAAGCAATATATGATCAATGATCTATGGTTAAAACACTGAAGTTTCTTTAAAAAGATTCCCTGAGGACGGGTGTGGAAAATATCGCCGAATGGTGCGCCCCGAAGAAACGGAAGTTAAAGCTTAATCAAACTCTGTGACTTTTCGTGGGCAAAAACTGGATGGGAATATCAGAATTGGGCTTCCCAATTCTTGTGTTCTCTGTAATTTTCTCTAATTCGGCAAGTGCGAAAACACAGGGGAGATAAACTCCTTTGTAAAACATTGTAAAATGTTCCGATCAATGAAAGCTTACAATATGATGAATCGAAGAAACTAAAGTTCTAACGAAGTAGAAAGGGCCTTTAGCTATCGATTCAGAACAGATTATTAATTTACAACTTATCAAATACTTACAGTGTTCTGTTTCATAGTCAGCCCCGCAAACGAGAAAAATCTTGACATACAAATATCATTTGCTGATGTTGAGGTAAACGTACATCCCCTGCCTACGAAATTGCCGGACTTTCGTGTTATTTTTCCAATATGAATTATGCACAGGCTAATCTGAGATTAAAATTTCTACCCGTTGATGGGAATAGTCGCGCCATTTCTTGAGCTTTCTTTTGAGATTTTAGGATCTTTTGGCCTTAGTTTCGTAAAAGCGGTTTTTGAACAACAATACTATCGAATTTTGTGCTAATTACCTGCCAGCATCTACACATCAGTAGTTTTATCGGATTAATGGCCAGTAAATGTTTTTTTAAATTCTTTCCATGGATCTTATATCAGCACCTCATTATGAGAAAATTGGGTTTTAAAACCTCGAGGGGAAGATCTACTTTACTGTCTGATTTTTTATTTGAATGCAAAAAAACAAAACAAAACAAAACAAACAAGTTTTTTTCATCTTGTCTTTTTCAAAACATCTTCAATGATAACTACCTTTTCTGGGTTGACATTAGGATACAAAAGACTTGATTTACTGTTTAAATGTGAAAAGTGGAACATCATACTGCGTTGAATAAAAGTTGAGGATGTCTAATTGCAATATTTTAAATAGAGTTTACCACTTAAAGATTTTTATTTGACTTAAACCCCGTTTTATTAATGCAGTCAGGAATATTTTAGGTACATCTGAGGTTACTTGCCTTAAATTTAAATCAAAATTTCTCTCTTATTTAATTAATTTTTTAGGTCAATGAAATGGTCTTCTGATGAAAACCGATTGTAACGCATGACTAGTTTCAGTACAAAGGTGAAATTATTTTTTCCACGGAAAATCGTCAGAACCTTGTCGCTTCCTTTGAAAAATTAAAGCAAAATTATATGATACGAACTGATGATTGAAATCACCGAGAAAGAAAATTGCAGATATTCAGTATCTAGAAAACCAAAGTGGAGGAAATGACAACTTTTAATTTGGGTAATTTGCTATAACAAAGCTAATACCGCAATGAAATTCGCACTCTCGCTAACGACAGCTTATATATATCCTAATGTTGGCTCAAAAATCATCGTAATTTTTTTTCGGCCGATTTGCCGTTTAGCTTTGAAAATGACTGCATCATTCCGATGAATTAGAAACTAAAGAATCACTTACATGTTTTTTTTTCGACACCGCCCGTGTTAGTTGGACACACCAGTACGATCGCATATCCATCATTTAAACACAACATCAAAAAATATTTCCTATTAACACATTAGAGGAAGACTTTTATGGTAAATTTTAAACAAACTTACATGACTTTTCCAAAGTATTTTGAAATGCGTTTCCGAGCGTTGTTCTTCAAATCTTATCCTTTTGGAGTACAGAACCCCTTAGAAATGATAATACCCTTGCGATTTGATTTCACCTTCCCTGGTATGATTAATGTTTTGACTGACAGAGCTGAGATGGCAATAAATTTTGTAGTGAATGTTTATTTTTCATTCAGCCAAGCTTATGAGAACTGTCAAATATGGCGGTTTATTGGGCTGGTGTCGTCTGCTTTTCGTCCTGGGAGTAAATTTTGTTTAATATTAGAATCATCGATGGTTTTTTTTTTTTACTTTGACGCTCTAGATTTTATAAAACTGCGAAATTGTTTATTGAAGGAAGAGCAAATATTTTTTTAAGGAAGGTATTAGCTATGAGGCTCCTTTTGATTTTTCACCAATCAAAAAGTTCTTAGAAGTGATAAGAGATAAAATTTTTTACTTATTTTCCCATATGTGTCAAAATGCATTACAGATATGAAGTAACCACCAAAAAAACGCGCATATTATCACAATATCATCAGTACACGTCGCAAATGTGACATTTGTTCCCTTGCCCATGATTAATTTCTCTCTCCGATTGCAAAAGACTAGCATTTATGAGTAAATTCGAATTTGATGGACGAGACGAGCTTGAAGAAACATCCAATATATTACGGCTTTCTTTCTTTCTTGGAAAAGAAATTTGCCATCTGCTGTTTAATTCTCCTAGTGTCATTCACTAAAGTGGTTGTTTGCGAGGAGAATGTCGAAAACTAGGGAAAAGACGTTATCATCGTCTATCAAACGCTGACTAATGAAAATTTGTTGTGCAATATGTTTGTAAATTTGTTCCCCGAAACGTGACCACATCGAAAGCGTCATTAAATTTTGCACAGTCACGATTTGGATTTAGAGGTAGAAATTGCAACTGTTCTGGATGATTGAAAAATATTTTGCCTACTGTATTCTTCAGATAAAAAAAAAGATGTAATTTACATGTATACATATATAGCCTTTTTCAAATACGTTGCAATTTCAAAATATATATGAAATATATACACCTTTTCTTTTTCCATCCAAAAGTGACAAGAAAAGAAAAGATATGTATATTTAAAAGATATTTTCAAATTACAATGCTTTTGAAAACGGGTTTATATACATATATATAACGATTGACAATTTCACACGCTATTTTTAGGACCCTTATAATCAATTCGAAAAAATTTGGATTAATGCTGAAGATATAAATGATCCAGGCGCTATCAGGAGCCCGTAATGGGCTCCTGGCGCTATTTAACCTAACTCATCGGTAGAAACAGAATAAAAAGACATTCCAATTTGTAAAAAAAGGTAATTACATAGTGAAAGAAATCTTCGCCTAACCTGGGGTTAGTTTAAGTTCACATTCAAAGTGTTGAATAATTTGCGGTTTTGGTAAAAAATTACTAATTGACTAGAGTGTGAGGTGCGAAATGATAGCTTTTCACAGATAGCACATCCCTAATACTGCCATCACCAACAGATCGATTTTCATGACTCATGCGGTTTAGAAAGTCACAGAAAATGGAGAAAGCCAAATTCTGTGTACATATTTGCTCTCTCAGTAAACGTTACCGTGATGAGCTCGTTAGCTAACACAAACAGAAAACATTTGATGGAGTAAATAGTAGTATGGATGAATGATTTGGAAAAATGATGAATGTAGAATCTTTTTTTTTTCGTATGGCCTTTCACTCATCCTGCTTTCAGCCAAAAGAGTGAAAATTAATTTGTATCACAATAAACCTGACCATTAGTTAACCTCAGCAGGTGTTATTGGCAATGTTACTTCTTTGACAAGGAAAATTTCAAACGAAAGTTAGAATTTTGGGGAAATATCATTACACATAAACTCTAAGTTGTTTTGTGAGGCATGAAACTGAAATAAACTAAACCGCTTAGAAAAATCACCAATTTACACTTTCTGACCATTTTGGCGAGTTAGACTTAAAAAACCTAGCGAAAATTGGGCCAAGAACAAAATCATTCGTGAATTCGGTGTGGTTGCACCAGTCACCTTTTCTCAGTCTTGAAAGATTTCAAATTTTTGATGTGCCATCGTTTAATTAAAGCTCTCCCCTTTTTTTGTTATGACCTTTATTTTCACCGAGCAAGCCCCACACGCTGATAATTTACATATGAAGATACATTCGACAAATTCAACCAGCTTTTGCTAGACTTACCTACGTACCACGCGAAAAAAAAATGACGCGCTCACCGCTGATCCAAAGCATTTTCTTTTGCATGGAGAAAAAAACCGGTCCTTTTGCTTGCGCTTTTTAAAAGTCTTTCAGCTCAAATGTGATCTTACGGCTTTGCCTACCATGGTTTTTTTCTGAATCACACACGGATTTCATACTTGCACGTACATCTAGTTGAAGAAACTTACCATTGGTAAATTATAGACTGTATCTTCAATTCTAACCATTTCCATTTTGACAGGCAAAAGATTAATTCGAAACTGACTACACGTGACGCTTACCTCAATCTTAAATGCGAGGGATAAATTTGTGACAAAATCGTCTAAGCACAGATATAAAAGTATTAATAATTTCACTGTGACGTAACTGAAATTAGCGGCTTTTAAAAAGTATATTTCTCCTTGCACGATACGACTTTTAAATTATAACATTATGTCATTTTAATTCGTATATTTTAATTTACCTTCGATTATGCATCCTGAGGAAATGAACTCTCCTGAAATCGATTATTTGAGTTGTGTTTATCGAGGAATCTCCTAGTCAAGAAATTCAAGCTAACTTTCCATTTAAACTTAAAAATTTGTCAGCTTCGATTTGCAATTAAATCTTTCAAAAGAGGAAAATCTCAAAGCAGATGGTGGACACCAAAAAAAGGCAAATTTTAATCTCACTTCGAAAGTTTCAACAGCCAATTAGAATAGCGAAATGTCATAAAAGCTTCATCATTTATTGAGTTCTGCTAAGCTACCCTTTAGATTTGAATTTTTTTTACAAAAGAATACTGCATACAAAACATACACTAGTAATGAAAATGGAATAGAAAGCGTTGCATACAATGGACAGTTTACGTTCGTACGAAATCAATCATTTCCGGCGATTCTGAGATCAGTCAGGAAACTCGTCAATGGTACTGTGTGGCTGTTTAAGTAAGCGGAAGTTAAGTCTCAGAATTTGACAAATGACGTATGCAATGCGTAGCGCAAGTTGTTTGAGTATTACATAACCAGTATTTGGTCATTGTTCCAGAGTATCCGACAAAAGAAGACTAGGACCGAGTTTTGTTTTATTTTCTCGAACATTGAACACAAAATTGGCAAAAAGAAAGAAAAAACAAAAAAACAAAAACAAAAGAAAAAACAAAAACAAAAAAACAACAAAAAAAAAAAAACGAAAGCGAAGACACCAGCCAGTCAAGACAGCAAAGCTTACTGACTTCGTTGACATTTTAATTAACATCTGACTGAAGGGCCACCGTGGCTAATACGAAAGAAGTGCAAAGTCACATAAATACAGATTTTCGCTGGCCACAGGAGCCCAAATGGGCTCCTGCTTGCCATCATTTCTGGATAGGGACGAGACACTCCCTTATTTGGCTTCAGCAGTTTGCGTCATTCCCCGTTCCCCTTCCTCCGTTCCTTTGGTCTTCCTGCCTCTTTATTTTCAACTCCACATTCCTCGATCCTTATACTATGATCCATTGTTCTTCGTTTTCCTTTGACTAATATTATATTGACTATTCCCCAATCCCCTCTTCCCCTCTAAACCTACGCGGCTTTGACCCACGGACCCGTCTGTGCTAACTGAAGTAGTGCCTCAGGTACAGGTCTGATATTCGCATCCTCAGCCTCCCGACCCCTCCCCCCACCCTACACCATATTTTCGAATCATTTTCGACACGGGAAGCTTTGCCGAACCTTTATGCCCAACAATTCCCCCCCCAAATGTTTTTTTCCTCTCAATCTTTGCCGGTACATGAAATATGAATTTGAAATTTCTTTCCCTATACAAAAGTCACCTGCTGTGGTAAAAATCAACCTTCAGCGATCCATGTCAGAAAAAAAAATTGACCGCGGTTACCGTATAACTAAATTGTAAGTAAATCAGCGGGTTGTATGCATATTTTATCAAGCAAACATTGTTTTTAAAAATGTATAATCCTGAAGATATCGGAAGATGTGACATACACATCTGCCTCTTGAAAAAGGTCAAAACATGTCAGTTTGTTCCCTATTCGCTGCATTTGATTGGCTGTTTGAATGAGCGATGCCTCCCAATCGCGGTGTATGATGATATGTTTCTCGCAGGTCAGCGTCTGTGATATGCAAATGACGACACAAGACCTTACGTGGCACAGCCGGCCTCGTTCGCATGAGTGGTTGATATTTACATTCACGGCAATCTGTTCTGGTTTGGGTTTCTTTCGCCGACGAGAAGCGCGATTTTTCGGGCGGGATTGCGATATTATTTGGGCGAGAAACCGATATGGCAAATTTTTAGACAATATTTGGAATCGCGTCCATGGAGGTGAATTCGTCGCTTTATAATTTGGAATACATCAGCGATAGTATGGAGCAGAAAGATCGCGGATCACATTGCTGTACTGGTGAGTGAGATTATGTCCTTAGTATCGCTGTGTCTTTCTCGCCGTTTAGTGCATTCTGCCGTGAAAAATGTTTCCTTTCACTACCTCAAGAATAATTGCAAGTGACCCTAACGAAAAAAAAAAAGTAGCATGTATCCTGTCGAATTTTTTGAGTACAGACATTCCACTATTAAAATGCGATCGCGAGTGTATTGAACAAGTTGATTGATCAAAAGGTTTTTGTCTGATTCTGTGTGAAATTTGATTCGAGATTCATACAAATTCAAGACATTTTTAACCCAGTGATATTATTTGATTTCTGTGTTTCTATGCAT